CTTTCAACTCATAGAAACCCAATTTGGGATGACCATAAAGAAATTTCGTTCTGACAATGCTCCCGAGTTATCATTCGTTGATTTCTTTCATTCGAAAGGAGTCATTCACCAGTTTTCTTGTGTTGGCCGTCCTGAACAAAACTCGATTGTCGAACGGAAGCATCAGCATCTCTTAAACGTTGCCCGATCTCTGTATTTTCTGTCTCGTGTTCCTCTAAAATTTTGGGGAGAGTGTATTCTTACTGCCACCTTCTTAATTAACCGGACACCCTCACGTGTCTTAAATTGGCAAAAACCATTTTCTCGTTTATATGGCAAGGAAGCTGATTATGATTCTCTGCGCAAATTTGGTTGTCTTTGTTTTGCTTCAACCACTACTACTCATCGCTCAAAGTTTCATCCCCGGGCTATCATTTCAGTGTTTATTGGTTATCCCCCGGCATGAAAGGTTATTGCTTATATGATATTGAGAACAAAAAGGTGTTTGTTTCCCGAGATGTTATTTTCAAGGAAAATATTTTTCCTCTTCATTCTGTCACTGCCGAAAATGATGTTGTGGATTTCTTTCCTGATTTGGTTTTACCTCTAGCTGCTACTAGTCCTATATCTGCTGTTATAAACTCTGATCCATCCAATGTCATTCATGCTACTGCCCATACTGATTTGCCTAATGCTTTGTCTACTAATTTGAGTTCTATGCTTCCTTATTTGAATTCTGCTCCACTTGCTTCTGCTATGAATACTGCTATTAATGCACCTGCTAAACCTACTGATATGAATACTATTCCTATTGATATGGTTCCTCATATGGCTGTTGGTATAACCAATGCTTCTATTGATGTGCCTACTAGTACTTTTTCTGCTGTACCTATCCCTACTATACCTCATATGTCTCATCCCCAACCTAATGTTGCTTCACCTAAGTCATCACGCATTTCCAAACCACCAAAATATCTCAAATACTACCACTATAGCTTACATAGTTCTACTGCCTTGCCCATTTCTACTTCCAAATATCCCATACAAAATTATTTGGCTTATGACCGATTATCTCCTTCCTATAAATATTTTATTTTGAATGTTTCTGCTACTCCTGAGCCACTTTATTATCATCAAGCTGTCTCTTCCCCACATTGGCGGGCGGCCATGCTTGATGAGTTACGAGCCATGGAGATTAACAAGACTTGGTCTGTTGTTCCCTTGCCTCTCGGTCATCATTCTATTGGGTGCAAGTGGGTCTACAAGGTTAAACATCGTTCTGATGGCACTATTGAACGATACAAGGCAAGGTTAGTTACTAAGGGTTACACTCAACAGGAGGGTCTCGACTACATCGAGACTTTTTCCTCTGTTGCCAAACTTGTAAGTGTCAAGGTGTTGCTGACTGTTGCTGCTTCATTAGATTGGCCTTTGATTCAGTTGGATGTAAACAATTCTTTTTTGCATGGTGATCTGTTTTAAGAAGTTGACATGGACTTACCTTTAGGGTATAAACATGATGTTCTTCCATCTCAGGGGGAGCGTTTAGTATGTCGTCTTCATAAATCTATATATGGACTTAAGCAGGCTTCAAGGCAATGGTTTGATAAATTTTCTCATACTTTGTTGCAGCTTGGTTTTAAGCAGACTAAGTCTGACTATTCCCTCTTTTTTGGGGTTTTGGTGATTCTTTTATTGCATTACTTGTGTATGTGGACGATATTATCATTACAGGTGCTTCTTCTTTGGCTATTGACAGTTTGAAAGCACATCTTCATGCTGTTTTTAAACTCAAAGACTTGGGTTCTTTGAAGTATTTTTTGGGGTTGGAATTGGCGCGCTCTAAGGATGGTATTTCACTTTCCCAACGCAATTATACGCTTCAACTTTTGGAAGATGCTGGTTTCTTGGCCTGTAAGCCTTCTTCTTTGCCTATGAATCCCAATGTGAAGCTCCTTGCTTCTGAAGGCTCTTTGTTGGATGATCCTACTATGTATGGTCGGCTTATTGGCATGTTACTTTACCTTACTATCTCGCGGCCTGATATTACTTTTGCTGTCCATCGTCTAAGTCAGTTTGTGGCAGCCCCGCGGCGTTCTAACCTTTCTGCTGTGCATTATCTTCTTCGTTATCTAAAGGTCTCTCCTGGTCAAGCGATTTTCTTGCAACGATCTTCTTCTTTTCAGCTTCATGCCTTCTCTGATGCTGATTGAGAATCTTGTCTAAACTCTCGCAGATCCACTCCTGGATTTTGTATATTTTTGGGACATTCTTTAGTATCGTGGAAGGCCAAGAAACAGAGCACCGTGTCTCGTTCTTCGGCTGAAGCAGAGTATCGAGACGCTTGCTGCCACCACGAGTGAACTTGTTTGGCTTTCTCAGTTGTTAACTGATTTACAAGTTCCTTTCCAACCTCCGGCGTTACTTTTTTGTGATAATGAGGCGGCTATGCATATTGCTACTAATCCGGTCTTCCATGAGAGAACGAACCATATTGAACTCGATTGTCACTTTGTGAGGGACAAGATTCTTGCTGGTTTTGTCAAATTACTGCCTGTACGTTCTGCTCTTCAATTGGCTGATATTTTCACAAAATCGCTCCCTGCTTCTACTTTGACTCATTTGTTGTCCAAGATGGGTATTGTTAATATTCATACTCCATCTTGAGGGGGAGTATTAGACTTGTTATACAAGTAGTTAGTTTGTTATATTATTTCTGTAACACTGCTGTACTTTGGGGCCCTATATATAAGGTCCATCTGTTATTGAATAAAGATGATGGAAGAATTTAATTTACCCTCAGTCTCTAATAAAATCCATAAAAGAAGTATACTAAAAAAGAGAGCTAATGGTCGTGGAAAAAGTTAGAGAGAAACTTCATATATATACATATATGAGATAGATAAGTTGAAACTTTTGAGATTCTAACCTTCCATTAGTTATTCAAATTATATACAAAATCGTAAACTATTAGATAAACTAGCCAAACTCTTCATATTCAATCTCTTCGTATTCATAACTTCAACATTATTATTAATAACAGTTATTAAAAAAATGGCATGTTTAGTAAATTTGAAAATTGATAAAGGGACGTAATGGTAAAAAAAAATTTTTCCAAAATTGTAGCATTTTAATATATATATATATATATATATATATATATATATATATATATATAGTTAGAAATAGAAGAACATTTTAGATGAAAATGATTGTTGTGTCGTGGATCAACTACTGCGTTAAAAGCAATTTTGGCACAACCACGGTGGTAAATCATATATAGTTTGCTGCTCCCTAAGGTTAACACAACACCCAACACGGACGTGCACTCGTCAGAGCGGATTGGAATCGAAGAACATGCTCATAATACATTTGGAAAAGTCGAACCCACAAAACATATATTTTTCCCTCTATTTTCGAGACACCAAAATGTGGGATTTAAAAGGGCTCCAAATCGTTTTAGAAAATGAAACGTTTTATAAAAATAAATGAGTAACATTTTCATAAAATTAATGAACAAACGTTTTATAATGTTATATAATTAATAAATTAACGTTTTAAATTAACATTAAAACCATTAATAAAATCATTAATTAATAACATTAAAAACGTGAATTAATTTCATAAAATATTTTCTAATAAATTAAATTCTAGCAAAAGATATTTCTTACATTTTGCTTTGTAAACTACATTTTTACTTGGTATTTCCAACACACATATATATAACATATCTTTGGCCAATCAATTTCCATAAGTTTTTTATGGATGCTGGAGGTTTAATGTTTATATTGATAACTGTTGCTAAAAATAACTTGATATAACAAGAAAAAGGTGAGAAAGAGAGGAGTGAAGAGACAGGGAGAGAAAATAGGGGAGAGATATGACGACAAAAGAAGAGTTGGAGAGTTAAAAGGAAGAAAAAAAATTATAAGAGAGAATTAGAATGGATGAAAAATATCAACTGAGCTCAACGACTGAGGTATCTTACTTATCCTTAGACGTTCTAGATTCAATTCCTCACCCCTTTGTTTATTTTTCTGAAAGAAAAAGAAAAAGAAAAAGAAAAAGAAAAAGAGAGATGAGAAAGGGAGGGTTATAAGGGAGAAAAAGAAACTTATGGAAAGTTTTTCATCAGTTAGGTAAGTTTTTCTGAAAAACTTTTTCAGCTTTATCTGTACGCCTCTTGAGAAAAAAGAAAGAGAAAAAAAATATCTGTCATGGATGATAAAATAAAGACCATAAAATTAAATAATCAAATCTACTGATTAATGTAATATATTTGTAACTATAAATATAAAAGTATTACGATTTAATTATATAAGCATGTAAGAAAGAATATAAGATAAATAAAATAACGTATAGCATAATAAATTTAATTAGAGTATTTAGAAAAACAACATATGATATAAAACATTAAAATAATACGTCAGTGAAATTTAATTCGACAGTGTTTTTGGCAATTACTGTAAATGTACGTATGCCACCATATATTAATATATAAATTAAAATAATAATAATAATTGGCCCCTTTATCTCGCTACACTCATAAAATTTCGCTAAGAGTAGCAAGATTAAGAGTTGTGAGAGCGTACCTTTCACCAAGGGTTTATTCTTTTAATTTATTGAAGTCTCCCAGAGTTGGTTCGAATGGATCAGCTTGATCAAGTTTGGTCCGACTTGTACTGATTTGGTCCGGACAATTTGTCTCGAGTGGCTTAACTCATGTAGCTTCCTTAGTTTCAATTCATAATAATTTGATGGGATAATATCACCTATAAAAATAGACTCCAATATTTGAGATGTTAAAAATCAATTTTCTTAACAAATAAATGATTGATATGACCACTCGAGAGAGCTACTTTCTAGTCTCTATCACCATCACAATAATAATAACAAATAATTTAAATAATAACATAATTCATAAAATTTAATTAACAAATAACAATAGAATTTATTCCAAATAACTCTATATAAGAAGGGGAAGGAATTGAACATTATTTATTGTATGCGAGTCTATTTTGCAAAGGAAAGTTTAATTGAAACCATGTCTCTTGCTGGAAAGGGTGTCTTTCTTTTTTTTTTTTTTTTTGAATACAACCTTGCTGGAAAGTTAGTGAGCGAAATTGAGATAAATGCTATAGCTGAGAAATATTACAAAGTCTTCAAATATCAATCTTTTAATCTTCCCAACATTTCCCCAAAATTCATTCAACGAGTTGAAGTTCAAGGAGGTGATTGGGATAGCCACGGCCATGGCTCTGTTCAGATCTGGAATTATACCACTCCTGGTATGTTTAAATAACAATCTATCACATGGATATCTTTTTCGTTTTTTCTTTTTTTTTCCATAAATGATGCTCTTAGCTATCATTATATTTATTTTTATATATGATTTGTTAAGATTGTGAGGCTGAAGTTTATAAGGATCGAGTGGAATTTGATGACGAGAAATTAGCAATGATCATGATCGGATTTGAAGGAGATGTATTCAACTTGTACAAAACTTTCAATGCAACATATCAAGCTGTGCCAAAGAGTCCCAATTATTGCTTGGCAATTTTGTCCATCGAATATGAGAAACTCAATGATAGCGCTCCTTATCCTTACAAGTACCTTGACATCATGAATGGTGTCACCAAGGACATCGAATCTTACCTTAAATGATAACTTTTAAGGGTCTTAATATGAGCTTCATCCCTCTATATAGCTTATTATATTGCGTCAGAGTTCAGCGTTATGAAGCAGTCTTTCGGGCTTGATCAAGTATCTTTGTGTAGTATACTTGGATGCGTGAAAACTAAATAAAGGGTTGCGTTGTAAAAGTGATGAAGCTTAATTATTATGTTTGCTTCAATATAATATGTTTTATTTGTATGCCACTCATTGTTTGTGGCTACTTTCTTTATCCTTGGGAGGTTTGTTATATTTTCCTTGTTTTATTTTTAAGAAAATTATGTTACAAATAAAATATATTGTAGTCGTATCAACTTACCTCTTGTTGCTTACAACTCACCCTCATCGTCCTACCCAGTCCAAATAATTAAAGTCTCATTCCTTAGTGTTAGAGTTAACTTCTTACTAATCACTTTTGGATTAAATGATTTGTTATGAAATAACTAAAAATTAACTCATTTATAAACTTGTTGCATGTCTCATATGATTGGGCCATTTTGGAATATGAAGCCCAAAGCTTGTGTTTCCAACCCACTTCTTTAAGTCATTATTGTTTAGTTGGTCCAAATTGAACAACCCTAAATCCCGCATATATAAGCATCTTACTCAACCCTAGAAAGAGAGGAGTTGGTTTTTTGTTTTTGGGTTGCTCTCTTCAGTCTGCCGTGAAATTAAAGAAAGGTAAGGGTGCAAGATTTTGCTTGTCATATCGTGAGAAAGGACTCCTTTGGTAGACTCGAACTCACGAAGGAGAGACGACACCTTAGCTATGTCATGCTTTACCCAAATATGCTTTGCTATTAAACATACTTAAAATGACATGATAAAACCACATAATCATAATATGCTTTGCAATACATCAAATATAGCCACAATCACCATTCAATAACAAATTATATTTATTAAGCGATATGAATAACATTATTCAATAACAAAACAAGGAACATATAACATAATTCACTTGTAATCAATCAAGAATAAAACAAAACATACAATGCGGTAACTTATAATAGAATCAACCTACCTGAATTTTGTTAACTAAAGGTAATTCCTTAAAGCTTCCTAATAACAAATAACACAACTAAAATTGGACTCAATTACCTAAACTAAGTTTTCTCCAATAAGTTTTCATAACTAAATAGGTTCATTATTCTACTAGTATAAATCTCATAATAATTAACCTAGTCCATAATAATCATAAAATTAATATTTAAATTTGGGAAAAGTATTTTTAAATCTTCATATTAGCCTCTGATTTTTATTCTATAATACCTATAAAAATAATTTAATGATTTTGCAACTTTACAAAAAACTAAGAAAACACAGAGCACTAGTTTTCACAATTTTAAGTCCTATGTAAAACTAATCATAAAAATCAATTTTAATAAATTAAAATATATTTTAGGCTAGTTTAAAGGTGCTGGTCATGGTCTAAAAAATTCTGAATTAACAATCCAATTTTTCATACTAAACAATCTAAAACTATGTAAATAACATAAACCGTAAAAAACTGTTATGGAGGTATCCTATTTTATCTGATTTTCAGACCTCAAATTAACAAAATAAGGCCTAAACATTACATATTTTGTCATAATAATGAACCCTAAAAATAATTTACACAAGAAAGAATGATGCTTACCGTTGGTGCGTTTTCCTCTCTACCATAAATAATAGAATGAGAAAATTTTCCATCAACTAAGAGAGCTTGAAATGATGATGAGAACCTTAGAAAAATGTATATGATCATGCTTAGGTTCTATAAAAATTATTAGAAAAAAACCATTGCCAAAATAAGACTAAAAGAAACCGTTTCTTACCGAAAAGGTGAAATCGATGAACGACCTTGAAGGAACTTGGAAAAACAACTATTTCTCCCTTCTAAGATGTGATTTACAGTACTAAGATGGATGATGGAGATAAATTTTCAGATTTGGTTTGAGTTGTTCTCGGAGAAAAATGAATGGAACAAACATAAGTAACTTAAGGAGAATGACTTGGAATATGAAACAAACTTGAATCTTGGAAAATGGAACAAACTTCTTCTCTCTCCATGGCGGACAACTTAATGTGGGAAATGAGAAATTTTTTGAATTCCCAACTTAATTAATCAATGTGACTCTTGGGTAGGATGTGAGTTAAATTTTCTAATTATGGTTATGAGTTAAAGTAAAACTCTCTATATTCCCCAAATTAACTTAATTTGACAAAGATAGAAAAGTAAATAGTAAAAGAAAGGTAATTTGAGGTTTTACTTGGTTAATTACCTTATAAAAAAATTTTGGATAAAATGTATGAAACTTTATAAATACTCAAATAACTCCACCATTACAATTACTATAATTCAGCACATTTATTTAATTACTAAGGTACTATTGCTAATTTTGTTACATAAGTACAATTATAATCATGCTAACCTCATTAATTTCTCATGCATATTTATTTTTTATTACATACACAATTAATTAAACATGAATAAGATAAATCACTAAGTGTGTTTTAACAGGTAAATAAAATTAACATGAACCCAATTATTACCTAAGATGGATTAAAGTTTATTGACATAAAGTTGATTAGATTTGACTAGCTTAACTGTAAGATAATAATAATATAAAGTCACGAAAATACTCTTAAAGGTAACGCAGGGCACTATAATCTACCCTCCTTAAAATAACTTTTTTCCTCGCAAGTTACCTGCGATTCATAATGGAGGTCGGGATATTCTCCATATTATCTTTCTTGTTTCTCACGTTACTGTAGATACTGAGTGCTTCCTCCACATAACATTCACAATACGAATCTCTCTATTTCTCAACTTCCTCGTCTCTTAGGCAATGATACATATAGGTTTCTCTTTGTAAGAAAGATCCTCATTCAGTTGAAGTGACTTAGGATCTAAAACATGGAAAGAGGATGATACATATGTTCATAACATCGACACATATGGAACACATTATGTACCGGTGACATATTTGGTGGCCGTGCTAATCAATATGCTACTTGGCCAATGCGTTCTAGAATCTCGTAAGGTTCGATATATCGAGGACTCAATTTTTCCTTCTTTCCGAACCTCAAAACGTCTTTCATAGGATCTACTTTAAGAAACACATGATCTCATACTTTGAATTCCAAATCCTTACGCCAATTATCAACATTTTTTTTGTCTACTTTGGGCTGTTTGCATTCTCCTACGAATCAATTGAATAACCTCATTCGTAGGCATTCATTCTGGTCCTAATAAACTTCGCTCTCCTACTTCTATCTACATTTGTTTTCCATATAGAGCTTCAAATGGAGCCATGCCAATACTAGTTTAAAAATATTATTTGTTTGGTTTTATGTCCTTATTCTTGGGACATTATGGATGCGCCCAATTTTGTAGCTAGTACAAACGATGTGATCCTAGTTCGTTCATCTGAAGACATGTGAGTCGGGTGTCCCAGCAAAAAGTTTGCATAAGATCGGACCATGAGATAGTCACTTTTACTTTATAACACTGTTTACTGTCTGAAACTGACTATCTTGACTATGATGGCCTAGGTAACTCGATCTTAATCCTAAGCTAACTATGAACTTTTGTTTACTCGAGATTATCCTTAGATCTGCATGGGTGAGAGCAGCTTAATAGCACTGGCTCAATAAGCTTCCCATTTCAAGAGTAAGACCTGGTAGATAGCTAAGGACGTAGGGTGCAAGAAGGAATTCACTCCTACCCAATTATGGGATAGTGGAGAGGTTGTTCTCTTAAAGGCTGAATCCAGGTCTTGAACATTTGGTACCACCCTCATCAAAAGGTTTGAGAGAGTTTTTTAATTTGATAGTTGGACTACAAATCATTGTTCAGTAGAGGATCAGTGGGACTTAAGGAACAAGAGGTAATTACAGGGGTAAAACGGTATTTTGACCCATCTGTAATTACGAACAACCTGTAAAGGGTCGACTTACCGATCATGGTTATATCAAATGGACATAATATATCTATAGTAAGGAGAGTGCAGCTACGGGCTTTAGTGGAGTGACCCGGTAGTTAACAAATGTTGGTTAACTATGTTAAAGAGTTTAACAGGTTAATCTCGGATCGTTGGAGCTCATGATCTATAGGTCCATAAGGTCTCCTACTAGCTCATATAGAAATAAATTTGGAATAATTTGAAGGAATAATTTGAATCGTACGAATTAGATTAATCATATGAGATATGATTAAGTAATTGACAAATGATATCAATTGAGAAATTTGGTCAAAATATTTAAATAGGATTTAAATATTAAAATTATGAATGCAGATTCATTGAAGGCATGGATTGAGTCAAAAAGTCAGATTTCGGAAAAAGTCAAATAGTTGACTTTGACCCGAGAATGTCAAAGGTTGACTAAGAAGATTAAAATAATGTTTTTAACGAAGTTGGTGGAAAATTCCACTAACTTGTTGAGTGGAGCATTTAAATAATCTGAAAAAATCCACTTTTTGACACTTAACCATGACATGCATGAGTGAAGTGTGTGTTGTAAGCTTTCGGTGAACTTAGACATGGATTTTGACACTTAGTCATGTCATGCATGAGTGGAGTACGTGTTGTAAGATTTTGGTGAACTTATACATGCATGAAAGCTAATTTCATGTAATTTGCCTTTTCAAGAAGCATTTGTTGAAGCCTGAAAGCTCTTGGAACCTTTGGCCATTTGATGGTTTTGAAAAGGCTTACATAACTTCTTTTAGCTCCATATTTCTCTCAAATTTTCCTTCTCTAAACAGATTCCCACCACTCTATTCCAAGCTTTGAGAATAGCTAGGAAGAACTCTTGGTGGTCCTCATTGGAGTTATTTTAAGAAATTTGAAAAGCTACAAAGGTGTGTAATTTTCTCTCACTTTCTCTAAGAATCGTAATGTATGGTCATGCATGTTTGATCCTAGGTTGTAATATACATCTAGATTGTTATTTCGATCCTTGCTCGTTTCTGTTGCGCATGTATGAATGAGATCCATCATGTGGTATCAGAGCATCTAGAATAACATTCATTTGCATATGGTGGGTACAAACTCATTTGATGAATGTTGTGATTGAATTAAATTGGGTATATTATGGTTTTGGCAATCCTCTTAATTTTGACCTGTAATTATGTCATTTTATTTGTAATTTTTTCCCGAGACTTTAGAGTTGCAATTAGGATATAATTTGGTCAAATTGGAATAGAGAAAGACTGAAAATTAGCTTCAAACTTGCCTGCCACAAAGATTTCGACCCAGTTCGGTTTTCCTCCCTTTCGGTTCTGTTCGTG